CTTATCAACTGAGGACCATGACGAGTACAAAAAGACCATAGCCAAGTCAATAGGGGAAGAAATGGTCATAAGAATTCGAGGAAGAGAGACTAGGTACAATGGAGAACCTTCAATCCAGTACACTGCCATGTCAATCACCCCAGTGGACTATTTGGAGGAGTCAAATAATCTATTAGCACAGATTAGGGCCATGGGTTAATGCATCAGTTAAATAAACCAGTTTAAGTCACATGAAGAGTACTTCTTTACTATTCTTAAGAATCTTCAATATTCGCATATTTTCCTAAGATAAAAGTCTTCATAAAGATAAAAATACTATCAAATATATTTTCACAAAAAATCAAAAGATATTTCAGTTCTAGAAGACTTTTATTTCTGAGATATATAGGATAATGGAAAGATCTTTTATCAAAGGCTTCTTTATTTTAGATATATAGTGTCTTATAAAGCACGAAATGTAACATCATATCTGGTCTTTCGTGTACTGTATTTCCTGTACTTTCTGGCCTTGAGGGAGAAGTGGGCAGTTATAACCACAAGGATAAATAGAATAGTAAGAATAATGGGAATTGCTATGGGCCAGTATGCATTTGTATTAAGGTGAAGGGAGGTCTGCAGCTTTTTCCTTTCTGGTGACACCTCCACTACAAGCACAGAGTTTGGAACTATTTTGTCCTGGATGTATCCAGTTTGGTAGTCTGGACTGGGTATCCTGGAGTGAAATGAACTAACAAAGACATTTGTGGTCCCTAGGCCCATTGTAATCACAGGAGACTGAAGGGCCGCATATCCTGTCTGCGGTGGATGGAAGCCAACAATTACCTTTCCTGTCTCAGTGATTCTGCAGGCATGACTGGCCCCAACTGCAGACGTAGTTAGTGCAGGTGTCTTTATGGTTGTAGATATACTCAGATGGTACCCAGATATATCTGAATTATTCTTATACGCATACAAGCTGGATACTCCATTTATCACTCTGGTCTCCAAGACTGTCCACATTCCCGGATTCTCTCTGTAGAAGGAAACATTACTCAAATAACTAGAGTGCTCTGAGAAGACATCTTCATTTTCAAATCCTTTTCCTTCCGTGTTAAGAAATAGCATAGGCTGCAAGGAATCATGTGAGCTAGGTCTTGCAACTGTCAATATATCTGGGTATGTGTTGCTGTTGATATCCATTATACTTGGGAAGACAGGACCATTCGCGTTGTATAAGCTGAACTCAGAGATGCCAGGGACTGGGTATACAATCTTATCCTCAATGCTGTATCCATGGACTTCTGCTGGGTACATGATACTGTGCTTATTTAGGCAGTTATTTTTCACTAAGTTAGTGCAGTAGGGTGGTCGTCTGTTTGGGATTATATTTATTGCAGGAGGGTTATTCGTAAGGTACATGATATCCACGGAACCAGTTCCAGTGAAGTCTCCGAATGTAATGGGACCAGAGTCACCTGAAATCTCAAGAGATCCTTCTAGAGTGTATTTGCCATTGTCCATGTCCCATACCTCAAGCACTCTCCTTCCATTTTTCACTGTGTCCAAGACTAAGTTTGCTACTCCATTCCCAGAGATATCCACAAACCCAGAAGAGTGATTTTTCCGAAGAATTCCAAAGGGTGATGTACTAGGGTACGTCTTCTTCTCAAGTATATCAAGAAAGTGCGTCTTCCCGTCTAACTGTGTGAATAAAAAGGGATTTACGCCTGTGTGTGTTACAAGGAATGGCATCATGTCTGAGGAGCCAATTGGAGTTGCCTGCCCATAGGAATCGACAGTGAATATTCTGAAGCCCTTTTCAATTTTGGAAAAGACAAGATACTCTCTTCCTTCATTTTTCAGTATGTCTGTGGATGCAATGTAGTCCACTGATACGCTTGTGCTTATTGTATTTTCTATTTGGTAGTGGTCCCCTTCCTTTGAGATGACAATTATTCTATTCCGGGACTGGTTTGTTCCAACTATCTCCACTCTCCTCTTATCTATATTAGTTGTGTATGCGAGTGGAAGAAAATTAGACGCAATGGGCACTGGGTCTGCGAATTCAATGAGCTCTTCCTTTCTTTTCCAAAGATGCATTATTTGTTACAAAACACAGCAACTATTTATGTCTGGGGAATTATTTTTACATGGCCAAGAAAGAGAAAGGGAAAGACCAAATTAAGCCGAAGGATGCAAAGAAATTAGTGGAAGATCAGATGTTTGGTATGAAGAACAAAGGAAAAAGTGCGAAGCTGAAGAAGATGGCTTCATCACTTGAGGCCTCATATCTGAAGACAAAGCCACAGGCAGCAGAGAAGAAAGTGGAGGAACCAGTCTTTGAAGCATACGAGATATTGCAGAAGGTGCCTGTGGGAGTGGACCCCAGCACAATTCTGTGTGTGAACTTCAAGGCAAACAAAAAGTGCTCAAAAGGCACCTCGTGCAAGTTCAGTCATGATCTAAAGAAGAAGACAACTGCTCCAGTAGCCCAGAAGGAAGGAGCAAAAGAAAAAGATGCAGATGGCGTAGAAAGGCCAGTGTGCAAGTATTATATAGATGCACTTAAGTCTGGAAAGCACAATCCAAAGTGGGTCTGTCCCAACGGAAATGCATGCCTAGGGAAGCACTCTCCCCCAGAGGGATATATTCTCAAGGAGGACGCAGCTGACATAAAGACAATCACACAAGATGAGTTGCTGGAGGAAAAAAGAGCAAATCTCCCAAAGACACAGACAAAAATGACTGAAGAAAAGTACAAAGAGTGGAAGGAAAAGAGAGAGCAAAATAAGATTGAGCAGAAGAAGGAGGAAGACAAGATAAAGGAGGGTAACCTTAGACTAGGAAAGATTCTTCCATCAGGTAAGGATCTATTCGTATACAACCCGAAGATATTCATTGATGACGACGAGGCATTGGAGTATGACTACAACGCAAGAGAGGAAGAAATAGAAAGTGAAGAAGAAGCAGAACTAGCAGAAAAGTTAACGGATACACTGAATATCACGAACTAATAAATAAACCCCTGGATATGCAATCCTTCATCAGCACCTGAAAGTGCACCAGTTATCTTAACATAAAATTATTCAATTCCTGCTAGTTCTTGGTGACTATTTGAGATTTGCCTTCTTATTCAAGTGAACCACTCAAGTATCCCAGGCAGAGGTGTATTGTTCTTAGTATTATTAGTATTATTAGTGTACTTAGAGTGTGGTTGTTAGAGTGTACTTTTTTGTAAATAATCTGTTGTACTTATTATGTTTAGTGTAATCTTAGTGTAACTTAGTATAATCCTAGTATAAACATGTGTACTTAGTAATATTCTTAGTACTCTTAGTAATATTCTTAGTACTCTTAGTATAAATATGTATGCTTGGTATAAATGTATGTACAATTTCATTGCAAAATAACTTTCTTTGGGAATTGTTTTCGGGTTATATCTGATGCAAATAGTATGCAGTTTAGTATATATTTGTGCTGCCTGGGGGATACTTTGTTTGGATACTTCATTCTACATTGGAGTGTCTGTATATAAAAATACAAACTGCTGAAATTATTTTCATGAAGCCTGTGCTTGAGGAGCTATTTATAAAAATAAAAGAAGGGATTCGGGATAATAATGCAGTATGTTTGAATGGGATAACAGAAGAAACAATGATGGAAGGACTAGTAGATCTTTTTCAGAATGGTGGGGTTAATAATATAGTGGAGTATTTCCGGAAATACAGAAGACTGCAGAGTACTGTAGACTTTCCTCTCTCCTGCCTGCTTCTGGAGACTGAACTGGAAGAAAACAAAGATCCCTTGTATGTGGACTATCAGCCTGTGTTCAAAACAAAAGGACACTTTCTGAAGGTGCTTTGCATGATGTTTGACCGAAGTGAAACCTTTATATTCACAGGCGGAGAAGACGGAATTATCAAGATATGGGATGTGTACAGTGGGCGCCTGGTAAATTCACTAAGGCACCACTGTGCTCCTATTTTTGATTTTGTCGTTGACTTTAGCAATAGGTTTTTCATGTCCTGCGACCAAAGTGGGACTATTGTGTGCTGGGATCTTAAGACCCTGAGAAAGGTCGATGCGATAAATATTGGTGAGCAAATAGACTATTTGGATGTAGTGTATGCACCAACTGAAGCAGAACCACTTGAGCAGAAAAAGTCAAAGGCAGCAGTCTGCAGGACAGGAAGCATTATGCAAGCAATAGTGGTGACTAACTCTGGGAGAATACTCCGGGTTATAGTGGGCAGCAGTGAGATGAAAGTTGAAACCATTTTGGACCAGGTGGAAGAGGGAACTTTCAATGAGGCAGCCACCACACGAGGAAAGAAGATGGTTGTTATCACAGGAATGTGGCCATTCTCTGTTCTACTGGATGTAAATGACCCAGACAACAGATTTTACATCCTGGACACAGAAGACATGCTCTCTTCCTCAGTTGATGTCTCGCATAATTCACTGCAATTTGCAATTAGCACGTACTCATCTACTATGATGATTTGGAAGTACGATATCACGCAGAAACCCACAAAGTCAAATATATCCACAAGAAAAAGAGTGAAGGGAAGGGACCTGGAGGGGTGCTGGGTGAAAAGCACAATTGAAATTAAAGGAATGGGTGAGTCAATATATAATACTGACATAGTATACTTAATCGATGACACGACTCTTGTTGCAGTTGACACAGAGTCAAATATTCGGCTGATTAACACAGAGACAAAAGAAATAATAATGATAGAGAAAGAGTACAAAATTACAGGAGTAGTTTCGCACCCAACGAAAAACATATTCCTTACAGTGGAGGTGAATGGAGTAATAAAGGTAATAGACAGTTTGGGGCAGGTTCTAAACCGGATTGATACAAAGGTCTCAGTTGCAGGGACAGTTGTCATGGACTCAACAGGATCTTTCTTCTACATTGCAGATCTTGATGGAGCCATGTACAAGTACAGTATACTCAAAGACCACTTGGATGTGCCGGAGAGTGAGTTCATGCTAGAAGACTTTGATCATTACAGAACGTACAACAACGAACAGTTGAAGTACCTGGCGAGTGTTGAAGGGCAGTCACAAGATGAGAGCACAGGGCGTGTGTACGAAGAGAGAAATGCAGCACTTGAGAGAATAATGAAAAATATCAAGGGCAGGGAGAGTGCAGACCAGTGCACGTATACACTTGCAGGTGACTCTCTTCCAGTGAAAATTCAAATAGAAACTATTACAGAGCACATACTTCCAGTTGACAAGTGGATGCGAAGCATAGAGGTTTCAGGTATTTTGCAGTTGCAGCCAGAGATGATAACCTGCCAAGTATTTGAAAAGGAGTTTAGACGACCCAGCCAGACAATAATAGTGCCAGAGACAGAGGATGAGCCATCTTTATCTGCAGAAAATGAAGACAGTTCTTCAAACTGGCCTGTTGAGATATCAGATACCAATTACCTGAACACAGATGATGAGATAATCGAGACAGACAATGCAGAGAACACAAGCTCTTTAAGCAGCCTAGAGAACAGCAGTGATGTAATCTACGAGGGAACAGACGAAAGCACAGGCAATTCAGAGAGCAGTGAATCAGAGGAAAACTCCATGGAAGAGTCAGAGTCACAAGAAGTCAGAACACTAAGCAGAAAAAGAGGAAGAAGGCAGGCAGCACGTAAAGCATTCTGCCCAGACATAAACCGCCTATACAACTGGTATATGAGTGACACGCCAACTCCCCCACTGCTCCCGCAGATAAATGATGAAATTGTTCTGATAAAGAACAGAGTTTCAGATACAAGGCTAAAGGAGAATCTAGAGGACTTAGAGCCAATTAAAATACTTGGTGTGCAGTACAGAAAGACAGAACTGACTGTAGATTTTCTGATTGAAAGAACAAGAAAGAAAGACTTTCTTGTTTATACGATAGACCATCTGGATTGCAGTCCGTTTATACTTAAGCACCAGCTTTCTGATATAAGAAGCAGCAAATATAGAAGAAACGAAGAAATATATTACTACACAGAAGGAATTTTGTCAAAAGGTTCAGTAGTCAGAAAAAGAGGCGATAAGATAGAGGTAGTGACAGATTCAGCAGAGTACACCGTAGATATATACGATGTGTACATTCCTGCAACAAATTATTCAGTCGATCTAACAACTTACATTGCTCCTTTTAAGGCAATCAAGGACGACCACTATATCTTCTACACAGAAGTGTCTAAGTCAGACTACCCAGACTACTATGAGATAGTTCAAAGACCCATGACAGTTAACAAAATCATAAGGCGTCTCAGAAATAATTACTACAGGGCAAAAGAAGAACTAGAGAGTGATATAGAGACAATTCTGTCCAATTGCCGCGAGTACAACGAAGATGACTCAGAGATCACACACCAGTGCAAAGATCTTATTCGCACACTACTGCATATTATTGAACCATAGAGGTAAAGAAAATAGACAGTCTTGTGCCAGACAGAGTCACCCAGAATACTAAGGCCAGAAAAGACCATCTCATGGAAATGAAGTCCTTTTGCATATGCGCCCTAATAAAATACTTAAAATTTATTCTTTCCGCATGTACTAAGTATATTTTATTACTCATCTCTTCTGTACAGTCTCAACTAATTTATATTTTCTTTCTATTTTTCTAGAATTCACTTCTACTTGGAATTCTCTGAAATTGAAGCCCAATGAAAAGAGAAGTGCACATTTTCAAAATATGAAGTCTGCTTGATTCCCTGCCTAATGTGCACCAACTAAATGAAGATGTATTTTTGCTCTTTCTTCCATTCTTATAAAACTTATATTTTATTTTTATTTTACCCCCCGCAGATGCAAAACATAATAGAAGATGTTTCTAAGTTTAAGAAGTACCCACAGCAGGAAGCTGTTTACAACAATCCATATGAAATAGCCAGAGGAAACAAAACCCCAAGAAGATTAGTTAAAAACATTGGTCTTGGCTATGAGACCCCAATAACTGCAACAAACGGGACATACATTGATAAAAAGTGCCCATTTACTTCAGATGTGACCATCAGAGGAACAATCTTCAAAGGAGAGATTGTAAGTTTAAAGCAAACACGCACTGCTGTTGTAGTTAAGAGATACCTCCATTACCACCCAAAATACATGAGATATGAGAGGAGAAACACTAGATTCAACGTGCATCTTTCTCCATGCTGGGACGGCCTTGTTGAGGTTGGAAGTAAAGTTGTATGCGGTGAGACAAGACCACTCTCCAAGACAAAGAAGTTCGCAGTAATTTCTTATGAAAGAAAAGAGAAGACTGAGGGATTCAAGCAGTTCTCCCCAGAGGAATAAACAATAAATTGGCTTTTTATTACACGGCTGTTCAAAGGCGTTAACTTACGCATATACCCAAAGACCAGCAGATGCAGTGTAGTTTGCTGTCTGCAGTGCATTTTCTTGCAGTGAAATATTTTAGTTTGAATACGGGGTATATTGCAACTGTGAAATAGATAGATTTATTATTGCCTTCCACGGGAGACAGCAGGAGAATATCCACACTATGCATCTACACAGTGAAGTACTTTATTTCATGCTTTTTTTAGTCTCAGTGAATTCTCTTGACTTTTCATCTTGTAATAGTTTTCTCTGAGAACTAGCAGCTTAAGAGGCAGTTGCTTTATACTATATGGGATATATCTGTCTAATAATAGACTATATTTCAGCTCAAATAAATGCATACTCACAAGAAATTACACTATATACCATATATTAACTAAACTGCAGAAGCACAAGTTCCTTTAGAGTACTATAAACCGTTTCTTCTGTAAATAATCTGCATATATCTTGCAAATATTCACTGAATAGTTGCCTCTTGCTGGCAGACAGTCAGTTTAGTTAAAGAGAACAGAATTATTTCCTTTGTGGTGTGATCCTCCTGGGTGCACGTACTTGCTGATGATTGGACCGTTTTCTTTCTGGTTTTAGGCTATTTGTGTGTTTGCACAACTGGCTGCATAAATAAATCTGGATTTTATTTTCGCAATGATTGGAGAGAGAGCTGACCCAAAGCGCAGGTCCAAAATATTCATTACAAAAGAACTCCAGAGAATTTCCAAGGCCCCAAGTGAAAACTACAGTGTAGGTCTTTTGAATAATAATATTTATACATGGGAGATTCTTATAATTGGGCCTCGTGAGACCATCTATGAGAATGCCCTCCTTAAGGCCGTAATGGTCTTCCCCGAAACATATCCTGAAGATCCCCCAACATTCAAATTTCTGTCAGAGATATGGCACCCAAACATAGATACAAATGGAAACGTATGCATCTCCATTCTGCACAAATCCGGGGATGACGAGTATGGGTACGAAGATGCCTCTGAGAGATGGATGCCCGTCCGGGATATCAACTCAATTCTTCTCTCCATTATTCTTCTTCTTGTGGAGCCAAATTCAGAAAGCCCAGCAAACATTGAGGCAGCCCAGGAGTTTATGTCCAGAAGGTCTGAGTACAACAAAAAAGTAGAAAAGCTCGTACAGAAAACAATAGAATAAAGGTTATTTATCCAAAGTATGATGAAAATTCCATGGCTTAGAGTCCAATGGACATATATTCTTGGACTTAAGCCACTGTGATATACAGTGCATGTGGAATGCGTGGTTGCAGCTGCCCCAAGCCACTTTGCACTCCATTGACTTCTCTTCAGTTTGGCATTCTATGCATGTGTCCATGATGTGATTCCTGCATATAGCACATTTGTCCACTATTATGTCAAGAGACCAAAGTGCCACTGCCTTCGTCTTTACCAGCCGGATTTTCGGAGTATCCATTGCTAATAAATAAACAGAAAATATTTATGTCTGCGGAGTGAAGTAAATGTGTTTATTAAAGTGGTTTTTATTCTTTTTGATGTTCAGCATCAGGGCGTGCACTTGGTGCAGAAACAATTACAACATCACCATCTGTGTGGTACGAGACAGAATCCCCAAGGACCTCTGCGCCTTCTGCTGTTTGGAGAATGACAGGTGACGCATGCACCTGCACCCCGGCAAGTGTCTTTGGTCTTCCAGATACACCAGCTGTATCTATCTTATTTCCCACCCGAATATTGCACTCTGTGGGTGAACCTCCTTCATTGAGTGCGATCAAGTACTTTGGGGTGATGCTTGCCCCAATCAACATAAGCACGAAGTAATATCTATCCAGAATTCCAACACCCCCATCCAATGCCCCCATCATAAACCCAAGGAGGCATCCAACTGACCGACCTGAAATTGCTGCATCATTGAAAAGTGAGAGTTTGTGCATTCCTTTCCCTAGCCGCAGAAGACCCTGGGATATTTTCAGGGCACTTCCTGCTGCACCCTTCCCGCAGAAGGTTGACATTTCATCCAGGGCGATCTTAACACGCGAGTTGTTAGTGCCTGCTGAGACAAGTCCAAGCCCAAGGATAGCAGAGAGCATGACATGCGCATTTGGGCTGTGCATGGATTTCCTGAGGGTATCAATTACCTCTGTCTTTCCTGTGGAGAGGTAGAGTAAGCTGTAGGCCATTGGGATTGCCATTTGCACCTTGGCAGAGTCCAGGAGCATAGATCCTTCAAGGATGTGTCCTGCCATCTGGACTAGAGTATCATCACCAAGTGAAATTAGTGCTACCCCAAGGATGCCAAACATCTCCCTGTAATCTTGTTCATTTTCACTCTGTTCATCGAGTGCGTCCTTCAGGATGTCGTGAATGACTTTTGTGTTTCCTGTGGCCATGTATGCCATGCTTCTGAGGAGAATGGAGAGAGATACTCCATTTGCCTCCATAATCTCGCAAGAGTCAAGAACTTCAGTCACTTTGCCTTCTCCTTGCAGGAAAATAAGCGAGACCCCCAGAAGAGCAAATTTGACTATAGGGGAAGAGCACTCTCCTTCTCCGCCTATCCTGCTTGCCAGAACATTCAATAGTTCCGTGTAAATATCCTTGTTGCAACTGCCACTAAAGATATTTCCTATTACATATATGGTGAAGAAGACTATTTCAATTGTGTCATCGCACAGGAGTGGGTACAGACTGTGGAACATCTCCATGTTGTGGGTTCCTGCGTACTTGATGGCTAAGCTAATGAGAACGACAATTCTTTGGGTGACAGACTTTGTGTCCATTGCCTCCATGGCAGCTGCCAGGACTGTGTCATTGTAGTCGTACACCTTGCATGTGGCAGTTGCTAGTGCCAGGATACTTGAAACCTTCAGGTACCCGTCCTCAGAGAAAATGTGCTCTTCCAGTTCACTGAGTGCCTTCTTCTGGTCCCACAAGTATAGCAGACCACGTGAGCACTGTGTCGTTATTTTATATGTCTTTTTGTTCTCAGGTTCTGCAAGAATCTCACTGGAAAATGATGCCTTTGAGAGTGCGTCCGAGAAAGACCCGAAGTTCCCAAGGACTTCCTTGTTCATCTCCAGTCTAGTGCTAACATATCTGTTTAGATCTGCCATATACCCATTACTAGTGATATTTTCAACAGAAACTCCTTCTGGCAGTTTCTCCTTTGACATGTTCTGCACAAAAGAGTCCCACAGGTCCTTTGGCACTCGGCTCCATACTTCGTGCTTTCCCAGGATGTAGAATATTCTTATTTTTTCTGTCTGACTGAACTCTGTCACCTCCTGCAGCAGTTGCTCAAATCTTCTCTCTTTGATCATGAGCTTAGCATATTCCTCTAGTTTTCCGTTTCTTTTAAGCAGCTCCAGGAATGTGTTTGTTACTTTCTCGTTTCTTACGAAGTACACTAGTGCATTTAGATATCTTATGATTCTTTCTTGGTTATCTATGTCAATGTAGTTCAGGATCATCTCAATCCGGTCAATTTCCAATAAGAAATCTACACAGTCGCACTCGCAGTTGAACTTGAACATGCACTCAACAACTCCCTCGATGACTTTTTCCAGTGGATCAGCCATCTCTTCTGTTATCGGCAGAATTTCCTCCTCAGAAACTTCTTCCTTTTCTGTTACTTTCTCATCTCCTACTGCTCTGTTCTCTGCACCGTGAGAGTGTTTGGCCGTAGATGCACTCTCCTTTGCTGCAGTTGCAATCATTTCTGAAAGGTTGCTTTCTTCTTGTCCAAGGCTGCCTCCTGCCATCCTGTGCGCCTTCAGGCTCTTTACAATGTCGCACGAGAGCTTCTTCACGTACTGATGGCCCCATATGTCCATGGGAGTGGCTCCTCCTTCTAGCCTGTACTTCAGGCTTTCAGTTGTAGCAAGTGTTGCAGAAATAACGGAAAGTATGTCTGCCATTAGCATCCTGTTCTCTCCACTCAGGGTCACTAGCTTGTCCTGCAGAACAACCCTCTGTGAAACCAAGTACAAAAGGATCTGTGGTATTGTGGATGCCACAGACGTAGATGCACGCATCTTCTGCACCAGCATGCTTAGTGCAGAGTGTGTGATCTCTGGGTCAGTGTTGCTTAGGCTGTCTAGTATAACATGAATCTCTTCAGTTTTGCTGTCCATAAATAAAGAAATAAATTATTCAATATAAATATTGGATTTAATTACTATTCAAAATACTTTCAACTCCCTTCAGTCTTCTCTTAGTCTAAATCCTGTGCCTTTAGATGCAGATCTCTTTGCTTATCCTCACTAGATGGAGATAACCTCAAGACAGTCATTTTCCTCTTCCTCCAAGATAATCTCAAGTTCATCTGGGATGTAGTCTGTCTCAACTGCAAGACTGTTACTTCTTCCCTTTAGTACACCTATCTCAACCATTTTCTCCACCAGAAACTGGAACTCCTTAAAGGTAGGCAGTGGGAATTGTTTGAGTGACAGTGTTGCCCGGAAGTCAACATACAAACTGTCTGGGAATGAGTATCCCTTCCTGGCCACTATACCCAACAGGATCTTTTGGTACTCGGAGAGAGACCGAATGAAACTTCCCTGCATTGAGTGGTATACGTATTTGATTGCTCTGTCCATGTCTTCCATTTCTATTTTTGTGATGGAATTCCTGCTGGCATGCGCCATTGCGTGCTTCTGAATTTGCATTGCCTTTCTTATATCTCCATTCAGTGTGCATATTTTATTTGCGCAGTACTCCAGTGCTTCATCTGTAAATTCGAATTCTGGGTTCATTTCCTTAAGTATCCCTATGACCTGAGACCTTTTGTACAGCGCAAAATTCAGTCTGTTCCACCCAAGTCTACTCCGCACCTTCCCTGTGAGCTTGCTGTCCGGGAGATTGAATGTGTTTGAGATTGCAACGATATACAGATTTTTGCAGAGAGATGGAAGTTCCAACAGACCGTACAGAATGTGCTGGTTCTTTGTGATTAACATATCCACTTCATCTGCAAGGATAATTGTATACACATTTTGCTTCAATGCTTCTTCCAATAATCTTGCTGTGGAGTGGGTTACTGTTGGGTCAATGAGCTGGTGAATTGCCGTGAAAACATCAGACGGCAGAATAAGTGACCCGCAATTGACATTCACTACGGCAACACTTGGGTGATTCTCTTTGACTATTCCCAGGACACTCGTGCAAGTTAGTGTTTTACCGCACCCGGGCATACCACTTACATAGAGCACCCCGTACTCCTTTTCTTGAATTGACTCCTCCAGGAGCTTGTATATTGCAGAGGACTCGTCTTCTCTTCCCAATGGAACTGCCCGCATAAAAAATGAAATAAAACTCTTTACTTATCCATTTATTTTCGTTTCTTATACATTTTATTTCTATGCGAATAGTGCATTTTCTTTATAAATAGCTTTATCTTCTGCAGCACATATTTTATCTTCTGCTGTGCACTTCTTCCTACTTGACTTTTAGTTCATTTGGGAAGATCTGCTTCTTTCTTATTTCTTTGGCATTTCCAAGTGCTTTGTGTATTTTATGTGGTTGTACTTTCTTAGAGACTCGTCAAAAACCCTATTGTTCATATGGAAGAGACACTGCAGCATTTCGCATACAAATGACTGCTCTGTTGTTTTCCAGTACTGCTGTGATAATCGGTACACTGTATCAAAGAGACCCTCCACTATCACATCGCTATTCCTTGATATTTTATATATGAATGCACTGTCATTGAAGAGTTCTGTTACTTTTTTCACTGTTGCTTGCAGCTCCTTCTCCAGAAGAATTGAGAAAATTGATGCAAGCATGCTGCATGACTCCTTTGAGATTGTTTGCAATCCATCTATGCATATTTCAATTATCACAACAGCAATAAAGCTGTTCATTGAGTCAAACTGCTTGCAGTGCTTTAGTATGCTGCTGAGTATTATATCCATAGTAGTGTATATGTAGACTGTTGTAATCCCATATATAATTTCTTTTCTTATTTTTATGTTAAGAGGCTTGGTTAGCAGTGGAATATATATCTCAACTATTTCCTCAGACTCTATATCCCCTACTTTATTCAGAAGCATCAGTATTAACTCAATCCCATAGTGCGGTATTTCATCTACTATGTACTCCACCAGAATATTTATCAGATAGCTTCTGTCTAGTACGCGTCTTTCTGCTATTGACCTTGCAATTTCAAAGTACGTCTTTCTTTCCCTTGGATCTGGAGAAAGAATTCCCCGGATAATCATCCCCACAGCACGTGCAGTAAAATCCACTTTGTGCATGTTGTCTAGCACACTCTGGAGTGAGTCTTCAATTAAAGGCCAGTCTTCCAGGAATACTCCAGAGTCTGTCTCTGCATCCAGGACAGTCTGCATTCTAGGCGGTATTCTTAGATTTAAGTCCATTTCTGAAGAAAGCAGCATAAAATAATTTTATTTTTTACTCCCTAACAAAATGTTGTTTGACAAAGAAACTGTAGTTATTCTATCCAAAGGAAAGTATGCAGGATGCAAAGGTGTGATAGTTGAGGAGATCAAGAAGGGAGACAAATTTGAGTACGTCACAATTGTAGGACTTGCCAAGGCCCCTGTCCCAGTAACTGAGAACATGACAGACAGACAGAAGAAGAGAAGAGAGTCAGTTAAGTGCTTCGTTAAAAAAATGAACATAAGACACTTAATGTCCACTAAGTACAAGATGGAGAATGTCTTTGACAAAATGCAGATCGTAGACACAACCGACATGTCAGAGAAGGTCTGCCTGGTTAAGGAGGCAGAGAAGCTCTTCAAGGCAGCATACGCAAACAACCCTGCTCACTGGGTATTTAAGAAACAAGTAGTTTAATTAGAAATAAAGAGTTCTAGCAGGATATAACCCGAATATTTTCATTGGTGATTTAAAGATGGTCTGTTTTCTGTCTCTGTCTGTTGCAACTGCACGGGAAACTAGTTAGTCTGCAGAGTTTTATATATGCGAATATGGCGGTGTTTTAATACGCCTGCACAAGAAAATATGAAGCCATGAGGATGCATAAATGAACAGCATGTGAGCACGGAATATGCTCCAGAAAAAATAATAGTAAGTTCTATATCATATAATATCCAGATATTTTAACTGATTTTGTGCTTTATCTGGAAGATACATGGTAATTGCCTCTTCCATTACAAGTTCTAAGTGCACTAGTGCATCTATTTACTCTCTGAATATTTGATGCTGTCTATTAACAGATATAGTGCAAAAAATAAATATTTACAATGGACTGTCCTGCTACTAGAAGAAGATGCAAAGAGGAATTTATGAAAGTATTTGGGCAGCAGTTGGAGGGAACTGACCCAGAGAGATCAACCCTGCTGGGAAACCTACTAGAAGAAGAAATACACAGAACTACAACAACACGCACAGATTATGGCACTCTTTTTAGAACAAAGTATTTGAATCTAAAAGATGCATCAAATAAGTGGCTGTGCACGTCTGTCTACAATGGTGTCCTTGAAATAGACAAGTTTATAGCCATGACAGGCGAGGATATGAAAAGCAAGGAGTTAAAAGAGCTAGAAGCAAAGATATTCCAGAGAGCCCTTCTTGACACCACAATTGCCCAGCAGGAGGCAGAGACAGACATCTTCTTCTGCACGAAGTGCAAGCAAAGAAAGTGCACTTACAGGCAGCTGCAGACCAGAAGTGCAGATGAACCCATGACCACGTACGTTCACTGCGTTGTCTGCAAGAACAACTGGAAGTTCTGCTAGTAAGAGTAAACCTTCTATAAATATATTTACACTCAGATTCTCTCTTATTCAAGACCTATTTCTACTGTAATATAACCCGTATATTCTATGTGAATATTTTGTATGGATATTTTGTATATATTCTTCATTCTATTGCCCTGTATAGAAGTATAAGTGTGGTAAAATTCCCACTTTCATTATTCTGAAGCCACAAGAGTCCATCAATGGTAATTTCACTTTCCAAAAGATTTTCCATATATCAGCAACTGACTATATAATAGTAAGAACAGTTCATAAGAGAGGAACATGTCAGAAAGAAGAAATACATCCAATAAAAATACAAAAGATGACAGTCGCCAACCGAAAAAACATGATAATAAACCTTCCTTGACAACTACCCCTATTAGAGTCTAAAATACTACTATCTCCAGAGTAGCTTGTAGCCCCCTTTTGGGCACATCATATAGAATATCCCCGTATGCTTGCAGTCGGAAATATATGGCGGGCTATAAATAGAATGTGAAAAATTTAAATTACTTCTCATGGCAATTGCTTTGATTAAGTGTAGTATCTATTCAGTGGGGTAGAACCCATTTTTATTATTGGTGGACCTACGGCTTGCCTAGTCATCTGCCTTTACAGCTTAATCTCTTCTCTGCATCTATAAAAACATGACAATTTAAATTTTTGTATGGTATTAGAGAGTGTCTCGCGGGTGTATGCAAACAGTGCACTTAAGCGAGGGAAGGCTTACTATGAATACGCTGACTACACCATTGAGTACGGTTCCATTGAAGATTACCAGATAACTTCTTTTTTGGGACGCGGAAAATACTCACAAGTCTTTAAAGGCCAGACAGCACGCCATGGAGTGTGCGGAAGTAGAATAGAGTGTGTAATAAAAGTGCTGAGACCAATTAGAGAGAAGAAAATAAATAGAGAAATAAAAATACTAAAGTCCCTCATAGAGATAGAGAATGTAATACATCTCTTGGACGTAGTCAAGGACGAAGAGACAAACACTCGGTCTCTTGTCTTTCCGTACGAGGATCACACAGATGCCAGAGTTCTTTTTAAGATATTTACGTACGATGACATGATACATTACATGCACGAGCTTCTTAGGACTCTTGATGAGATACATGCGATGGGAATATTCCATCGGGACTTGAAGCCGCAGAATATTATTATAAACCACAAAACGCGTATTCTTAAGGTCATAGACTGGGGTCTAGCAGAGTACTATCTGCCAAATGTGGACTATGCCACACGAGTGGCCAGCCTGCACTTCAAAGCCCCAGAACTTCTTCTTGGCTACAGATACTACGACTATTCCTTGGATATTTGGTCTGCTGGGTGCATCCTTGGGGAGATGATTTTTAATCGAACACCAATGTTCAATGGACACTCCAACGAGGATCAACTAGGGAAGATTGTTAAAGTATGCGGGTCCAATGAGATGAAGGAGTATATCAAAGGATATAATCTGTCGTACCCAAAAGTGCAACTGGACCAAATATATGCAGCATCGCAGCCAGAAGGGTCTTGGCCTGCCGTACAGGCAATGGATATTCGAATTCCAAAGAAGTCGTCACAGAGAGACTCTTTGATAGCTCTTTTGAAGGATATGCTGATAGTAGACCATCAGAAAAGACCAAGTGCAAAGGAAGCCCTTAGGTACAAAGTATTTGACTGCTACAATTCTGAGCAATAAATAAATCTATTTCTAGGGCACTATCTTTTGTCTAGCTTCTTTAATTTTTCAATTTGTAATTTATGGAAAAGTGGACAATTCTTTTTTATTTATATGAGAAGTGACGAAAGAGAGTGGACTTCATTTCTTAATTCACGCCGGGGGCTTTTTGTATCTGGGGTTTCTGGAATATTTACGTCTAGTGCGGAGGACAAGGCCTTAAAGGTGGAGTTTGAAGCAACTGTGAGAATGCACCCAACACATCTTCCGTTAGGTTTTGACGTAGAGGCACTGAAAACAGAAAGGCACCGACTGCAGAATATCAAGAAGCAACAGGCAATTACAAAAGTAGTTAGAGAGTATGCGGATAGGAATGGCGTGCCATATGAAGAGATTGAGAAAGATCCGAAGGCATACTTGGAAGTTCGAAGAGAAGAAAGTGATGCGTTCAGTACGCTGCTGCACATTAAAAAGATAGGCTTGTACCATGAGCAGATGGTTCTTAGACGGAATGTATACAAAGGGATCAAAGAGATTATTTCTCCAGAGATTCTGAAGAGCTCAAAGACCTCGCATGCGCACAAGCAGGAAAACTTGTACGATTTGCGTGTGCTGTCAGAGCTTGAGACAAGGCACATAGCTGCAGGAGAGGCAAAGAAGGTGGCGCAGTGGCTCTCTACTCTGAAGAGCATCAAGCAGATGGCACTTAAGTCTGTGCAGTCTCAGAAGGACCAGATTGCAAATCAGCAGAGAATTTTCATTGCAGTGAATGCGATACACGACAAGCACAAGAAAGAAGAAGAGAAGGCAAAAAGAAAGGCAGAAAAAGCAAGAATCCAGGCACTGAAATCAAATGACGAGCAGGAGTACTTGAAGCTGCTCAAGCAGGAGAAGAACACGCGGCTAACCCACATCCTGCAGAAGACAGATGAATACATTGATGTTCTAAAGAAGAGAATAAAGCTGCAGCAAGGCTCATCAGGCGAGAAGCCGCAAGAAGATAACATGGATTACTTTGAGGCAGCGCACTCTTCAAAGGAGCTCATCAAGGAGCAACCTCGCTCTGTTTCGTACGGTCTTCTGCGGGAGTATCAGCTGAAGGGAGTTGAGTGGATGGTCAGCCTCTACAACAACAATCTGAATGGGATCCTTGCAGATGAAATGGGATTAGGGAAAACAGTGCAGGCAATTGTGTTCATCTGCTACATCCTGGAGAAGAAGCAGGAGACAGACCCGTTCCTGGTTATTGTGCCTCTGTCCACGTTCTCTAACTGGCAGTCTGAGTTTAGTCGGTGGGCCCCGTCAATTCGCGTGCTGTCGTACAAGGGCGACCCAACCCACAGGAAAGACCTCAAGAAGGAAACATCAGAGGGAAAGTACGATGTGCTTCTAACCACCTTTGAGTACATAATTAAGGACAAGAACTTCCTGTCTAAGACAAATTGGCTTTACACAATAGTAGATGAGGGACACAGAATGAAGAACAGTGGGTCTCGTCTGTGTGTGGTGATGAACACGTATTATAAGTCCAGGTACCGACTGCTTCTTACAGGAACGCCCTTGCAGAACAGTCTGCCTGAGTTGTGGTCTCTGCTGAACTTCGTGCTTCCCAAGATCTTCTGCAGTGGTGGAAGCTTTGACGAGTGGTTTAATGCGCCTTTAATGCACGTGGGGGAGAAGATCGAGTTGAATGAGGAAGAGGAGCTTCTTATCATTAAGCGACTGCACAAGGTGCTGAGACCATTCCTTCTGCGGAGATTGAAAAAAGACGTTGAGGCAGGCCTACCTGATAAAGTGGAAACAATTATTAAGTGCGGGATGTCGCACCTCCAAAGATCTCTCTACAATGAAGTTAGAAGCACGACTTTGAAGAAAAATGACTCTGTCAAAAAGCTCAACAATACGATTATGCAGCTGAGAAAGATATGTAATCATCCATTTGTCTTTGATGCAGTAGAGGACTTTGTGAATCCTTTGAAGATTAACAACGAGCTGCTGTATAAGGTAAGTGGGAAGTTTGAGCTTCTCAGGCGGATGCTGTACAAACTCCGGGCAACAGGACACAAAGTCCTAATGTTCTTCCAGATGACACAGATCATGACGATCATGGAGGACATGCTGGTGATGGAAGGATTTAAATACTTGCGTCTTGATGGAGCTGTAAAGAGCGAAGAGCGTGCATCTTTGATCTCGTCCTTCAATGACCCAACCTCTGGGTACCCCGTGTTTCTTCTGAGCACGCGCGCAGGAGGACTTGGCTTGAACCTGCAGATTGCAGACACAGTCATCATATTCGACAGTGACTGGAACCCGCATGCAGACCAGCAGGCGCAGGACCGTGCGCACAGAATTGGGCAGACCAAAGAGGTGCGCATATACAGGCTGATCACTGCAGACACCGTTGAGGAGTACATTCTGGAAAAGGCAAACCACAAGCTGCATGTGGATGAGAAGATCATTCAGGCAGGAAGATTTGACAACAGAACCACGCACGAAGAAAGAGAGGCTCTTTTGAGGAACATATTTGAAGAGAATGTAGAGGGCGATGACACGTGCGTGGTGGCCACAGATGAAGAGCTAAACAAGATGCTTGCAAGAAGCGAGGCAGAGATGGTAGAGTTCAAGAAGATCGATGAGTCAAATGTGCTTGGCCCTTTCAATTTGTACACGGGCCCAGTGCCTTCGCTTATTGGAAACCAGAAAGAGGTTCGAGAGCAGGAAGAGTACACAGGAAAAAGAAAGACGTCTTTCCTCTCCTCCAAATTTCACAAGAAAGACGGGCTGGTGTCTGCATGCACAGGCATCCTGAATGGACTGATTAAGAGCACAGTGGGAGGAAGAAAGAGAATTGAACTATTTTTGGAGCTGCCTGACCCGAATATGTACCCAGACTACTACCAGATAATACAGTACCCAATTTCAATATCAGAAATTCGCGAGAATTTAGAGGCGTATGAGAACATGGAAGAGTTTGAAGCAGATGTAAGAAGAATGTTTAACAATGCTATGATCTACAATGCAGAGGGCAGCATAATATATCATGACGCAGAGTATCTTTTGCAGATATTTGAAACCCTCATTGATGAGTCATGAACAATAAAACCAAATCACATTATATTGCACTACATTTCTATCTGTCTCCTATAGTGACTTGTATACTGACCTTTATACATGAATTTATTCTTTTGAATTTCCAGGAATAGAAGACACATACTTATATACTAGTGTGCTTCCATGGCCAAATTCCATCTGCAATCTAAATAGATAACAGTAAGAATTCTAGTCTGAATTTAGTGCTTATACTATAAATTCAATTATTCCTAAATATGCCCTGCTTCTGTGTCTCTATAAACAGACTAGTACAGACACTCTATTATAAAAATATAAAGCCTTCAGAATAAATAAATTTCATAGTGTGAAGGGTTATGCAGAAGACATAAAAACACAAATAATACAAATCAAAGCACTAGACTATTATAGTACATGATACAGTGAGATATTTCACTGTCCTGTGCTTAATCCAGGCTGCAACCAACCAAAGACCACCTGAAATTACTGGCCAATAGAATGAAGGTAAATATTCCTCAATAAACACACTCTCTAGTATATACAAGAAGAGCACATTATTCGGGCTATATCCATACATACAGACAGTTATAACTTAGTTTATATCTAGTATGCCTTTTAATAGATTGAGAAGAACTGTCTTTCACAAATAAAATTATTCTAAATATAAACTAAGTTATAACTGTCTGTATGGACAGCTGAGTATGCGAGATATATCCTCTCTGTTATCCCAGGGATATGTGGCTATTTATGAATTTGAAAATATAACCTTATAAATCCATTTAAAAATCCCATTTCTACAATATGTATCACCATGCAAATACATTAATATAAGACCTTATATGTGCCCACTGCATGTTTCTACTGCTTAAGCAAATATATGTGGCTGTAGGATGTATTTCTGTAATTTACTATTAAAATATGTTTTTGCATTTTTTCGCATTATGAGTTTGCCTCCGTCAATTAACAAAAGACTAAGAGCCTGCCTTGGATGCTCTCTAATTATGACACAAGCGCAGTTTAAAGAGGAAGGATGCGGTAACTGCACTGCCCTTAACATGAAGCACAACACAGACAATGTGATAGACTGCACAACCGACAGATACACAGGAGTCATTGGGCTGTGCAACACAAAGTCTTCATGGGTTGCGAAGTGGCAGCACATGGACACTTTTGTTCCTGGGCTATACGCAATGACCATGGAGGGGGAATTGCCAGAAAGCAAAATACTCGCACTGGAAAGAGCAGGCCGCACGTACCACCCAAGAAACAAATCGTTTGTTTTATAAATACTATTACAACTACAAATAAACTGCCGTTTACAACGGAAATCCTGCTTGAATTATCATATACACTATATCTTTGCAAAGAAAAGCCAATCAGCACTATATATGCACGAATTATCACTAGAATTCACTGAAAATCATTCAATCAAATATATCTAGACTAATTCCTATGCATATGTTCTAGTAGTCAGATGGCTTGTAATTTCTGGCAGAATTAAATATATTTTTGTCTTCTGTGTATTTTGAATATTTATTAAAGAAATTGCTTATAACGTATAATTTGTAAATTCTTTGTATAAATCAGATTAAGCAACAAAATAACCTGAATGAAAAGGAAAACAGTTTACAATTGACTTTATTCATATTATATTATTGAATAATTAGCATATTTCACAGGGAAAATGCTTATAGAAAATCAGTTATTATGAATGCCAATATTTGCGCACTGGTGCACTAAAG